GCTAAGTCAACGCATGGAAGATGATTATGAGTGGTCGTCGCGACCGTCAACCCAAGGATACTATGGAATGACACTACGATGAAAATGCTGACTATTTCAAGTACCTGCAACCAGTTCTCGCTACTGAACAGGTATTGATCCTGAAGTGAACAGACCTGTACGACTGACATCAGCAAATTTCGACCAGCTGCATAAAACATGGAATCAAATAACTGTAAGAACTAATATGGAGATCACCAGTCGGTTGAAAGGGTTGAAAGCAGCTGTATTCTCGGTGCTCGTATAAGTCGAAATATCTGCGGTCTTGAGATTTCAAGATGCTCCTCTCGAAAGCTTCTAGGGAGATTCTCTTCGATGTATCTCCAAAGTGAAATAGTACCACATCGTCAAGAAAGAGCATATGCCGATAACCCGACTGTACCATCGAACTTCAAGGACACATCGCAGGCAGCGTTGTTAAAAAAACTTTCCGAGTCGGGCGTCATATTTTAAAACTGCAAACTGACATGCCTACAGTGAATACGGCTGCTTTCAGATGTTGATTTTCGTAGTAGCTAAATACTCCATATTTCAGCTCGTGTGATGCCACTTCTGGACGCCGATTAATTTCACGTTCAATATCTCCATCACAAATCAAGGTAGCTGAAGGAAGTTGAAATGGTCTCCCCTTCCATCGCAGTACTACTTCAAAGTATCCTCTACGCAGAGTATCTTCAGGAAAATAATCAAATCAACTTAATTCGACCAACGTCTTGCTTGATTAAATAAAATGACCCAAACAATTTATATATCTATAAATCTTTGTGACGTAAGAATCGCCTAGATATACTGATGGAAAATATAAATGGGCAAAATCTTCGTTGAGGAAGATATGATGGCGATGAGGAATACGACCTCTGCAGAAGCGATGAACGAGGTCAAATATCAATCTGAAATACCACTGATAACAGCCAGACATCTAAAATCTGGGTTACTTTGCTATTTAAACTTTGTTAACCTTAGATGACGATGACAAAACAGTACCAGGTGTTTATCAGAGAAACTGATAAAACAACGATGGAAAAACTGTTACAATAAATTCTAAGTGAATGAATACTTTATGCAAATTCTCTAGGTACTGCAGGCAGTTTCCGAACTTCTGTGCGATATTTGGAAATTTACTGACTCCCGGCACAGAAACAACTGCAGAAAAACAGATTTTATGAACAACTCATTTTGGCAAAAATATTCATTTTCGGCAACAACATGAATCAGCGTAAAACATTTCAACTAAATAACAAAGAAGGTTTAGGACCTGATCCTTTTCTTTCACATGCCATGCTATCAAAGCGCATATTTCAAGAACGGAATGACGACGACTAGAAGAGCCATACTATCACAAGCACACGTCAACAACATGAAAAATGATGAACGGTAGAACGAGAATACATACAACTCTGAAAAATGGATTCAATGACGAATGATCACGGCGCCGCTGCGGCACCACACCTCACTTGGTGCTCAGAACAAGTGCCACGATCAATCCATAGAGACCTAAGACTTCGGCAAAGATCAGAATCAGAATCATGCCGACGAACAATCTCGGCTGCTGCGCCGTCCCTCGAACTCCAGCATCGCCGACGACTCCAATTGCGTACCCAGCTGCCAAGCCGCTCAGACCAACAGCAACACCAGCTCCAAAGCCACAGAATCCGCTAAACGAAATTACTGAGTCACTCTGAGATACAAGGAAATTAGTGTAAAAAACGATCAATGTAAAATTATGAACAATTCCTGCCCCATGAAAAGTTCGAACCTAATGTCTGCTCATTTCCCTGCTTTCTGGGTGAACTAATCCGAACCGTTATTACTAAGGCGGAGCCGAGACTTAAGACGAAGCTGTCCATACAGAAGTCGAGTTTCATCCCCAGGATAATCTATAGTAATGAGTAATGGGTCATTACTAAAAAACTGTAATCACGGGTGCAAGCAGCTGAATCCATCAGCCTTCGGAGATGAATCGATTGATTCACGCGTCTCGACACAGTCCATGATTCAGATAACCGAGGAAGCCTCCAGGCAAACTAAGTGTTTCTCCAAATTGAAATTTAGTCACAGTTGCGATGGTGTAGGTATGTCTTTTGAATGCTTTAAGAAAGGAAGGCGAAATAACTGCTACTAGTCCAACCTACCGGCTGAAGATCCTCGGTGATGGCAAAGAATGATCTGAAGCAACTGTCTCGAAGAACTCTGCTCCAGAATCGGGTTGTCTTCTTCCGAAGCTCAACAGCTTGCACGGGATCGCGAACGGGAGAGATCCTGGTTGAGCTGCTGCCTTCGCGTACGGAAAGGTCAAGCGGTCATAGCAACAGACCGACTGACCATAACAAAAAATATATCTTAGGCAGTTCGACAGAGGCTTCATACCCGAAGACCACCAGCTACGTTAAGATCGTAGCTCTCCGTCTGTCGGCAAATTCATTACCACTCAAAGATGTTTCATAACCACAATATTTGTCTTTGAATAAACACTACGCAGATAAGAGCATACTTGAAAAGTGTGTACTCCGGTACTTGCTTCACTGCCTGGGCGATAATAACAGCCACCACCAGACCATAAATCGCAATAATGCCGGCCATGACGACCGGAATGATCGACTTCATGATCAGCTCCGGCCTCATTACGGACATGGCCGCAATGCCTGTGCCTGACTTTGCTGTTCCGTAAGCAGCTCCGAGCGCTGAAATGTAACTACCATCACTTTATATCACAGATATACATCAGAGACAAATAAAACTGTGGAGGGAAGCATTGCGGTATTGCGGTACTCTAGAGGTATCGGGTTCGAAGCCCAACAAAAACTGTTCTCTAAACTGTTAATTTGTTTGAGCAATTAATTCATCCCACGTTGCCTCGGTTAGCGAGTGATAGAAATGCGAATAAAAGGAACACCACCGCGCCCAAGAGGCACGGCCATAGCGTTTCATCAATGAGCCTCCAAGAGCTGCAGTCTTAACCCCCCTCCAAACCCGATAACTGACCATCCAGATGCACAATCAGCACAAGACGTAAACCCTGTTGTTTAACCAAACCCAAGAGGCGATCAACTCCATCAAATTATTCTACAGCGGAAGAGTTGGTTTTGTTGCTATTGCAAATAATCAAATCAAATATCACGTACTCTTCGCCTTACACCAAATTGTTGGGAAATCACGCGAATTCGCTCATGCGGTTTACATGTGCTTCGTCGATCTGGAGAAAGCCTATGACCCAATCCCGCACAAGAATCTCTGGAAGTGCTTGCGAACATATGGTATCAATCGCCAGTTGATACGGGCTATCCAATCAGTAATACCTTCTGATAGCAGGTGAGGGGTCAGAGTAAATGGCGTTAATTCGAAGTCTTTCGGCGCTGATCCTTGCCATGGCTGCGTTCTGACCCGTCACATGTTTCTGTTGCACATGGATAGAATAGTCCGGCACACCCAGGGAGATGAGTGTATCAGCGTAGAAGGTGTCGAGACGAGAACGTTGCTCTTTGTAGAAGACTATTTTGCTGGCATCTTTCAAAACTGATCTTCAGCGCTCTCCTGAAAGCTTCGGATCCGAGTACGGCATTGCCGCATGCGCGTTAACCTACCTAAAGCGAAAAGCATATGCTTTCTCGTTTTCCTGTCCGTTGCTCTCTTCAGATAAAAGGATAAGTTCAAACAACTTTGGATCGTGTTTATGGGTCTCGACATGGTGCGGATTACAGCTATCCGAGAAAACCTTGACGCGCAGCCGCTGCTTCTTTAGACTGAGAAGTCAAACTGCAATAGTTTAGGCACGTCCCTTCAATACATCCCAGAAGGAAGGCGAAACAACTACAATATGCTCAGCGGATTGGCCAAAAACTACGGGGACGGCTAAGAATAACCTGGAGACAAGTCTGTGCTCCAGATATCGGCTAACCTCTGCCGAAGCTCAAATGCTAGCACAAAATCGGGAATATCAGGGACACTGCCTGACGCATCTGCCTCCGTAACTCGAAATGATAAGCGGTCATTGAAACAGGCAGACTGGATATCGTATACATCCAAAATTTTGCTGTCCTGCAAACGTTTCTCGTTCATATTACTTCTTTTTGATGAAGCAGCATTAACTGCACCACTGTCGGAAGCTCTCAAGAAGGTTAAAGGAAATAAACTTTAAATCTCTAGTCGCCATATACATCATTATACAAGAAATAGCCGAAGCTTACCAGTGAATATCATGGCTGCTGCTGCTCCGATAACGCCGAAGAACGGACCATAAACTGGAGCCTTGTCAAGTTCAGTGTAGAAGTCCATACTTGTGATCAGTCTTCGCTTAAAGCCAGGCAAAACTATTAAAGCGCACCTGCAATGGACATACTGTAGCATGAACGCATTTAGCTCTGCAAATTTTACTTCGACAAGTTACGTTAAGTAAAAAGATCTAACTGATACATACCCAAATAATATTCGGGCGGTAGAAACACAATTACAACCAGTTTCACAACAGTTTCTTTTACAACTCATTTTTAAAGGAGCAGCACTTTAAAAATCTGATATGTTCTTGAACGACTGATGGTTGAGGTCACTAACCACAACAGATGGTAAAATCTTTACTGACAACGCGTTTCGCTACACGCAGTAATATCATCAGGGCTGCGCGCACAAACGGCTGCTTGAAGGCACTTATATCCAAACAATCGAACAATACAGTGAGAATTAGACTGAAGTAAAACATGGTTAGAGGCCTGAAATGAAACTCTAAGAAGAGAAGCTTTTGCAACCTAGAGCGATGTTCCTTCTTCAGCACAAATTATAATATACAGTGATGATATCGTAATCATCGTAGAGATCAGCAAGTTTACACGTAAAGCGATGGAGCTAAGTCAAATAGGAAAAACAAGCTGAAAATGAGGCAAAAAAACTGAAATTAAAAATTTATAGTGATTAAACAGTAAAAATTAAATTACTTAGGATAAAATAGATGCCTGTAGCTTAATTTGTCATTAGCACAGGCCACACCAAAAGCTTTTATGACGGCCGATTCCCTCATCATGAGACCGGCAGCAGTGTTTTTCTGGTTCAAGATCGTCACATCCTTTGTACGAATGTGACGCAATTTACCAATGACATCGTTGGCTGAATGTTCTTCATTTCCATGCTCAAATGCAACCATTTGCTTTCTTAGACGGGTTTTAACCAATCTTTTTGTCATTCCGATGTTAACTTTTTTGGTAGTTCAACAGCCCATTTGATAAAAAGAAACCCAGTTTCTAATCAGATTCTCTATTGCAAAATCTTCAACAATGCAAGATATTGTTTGGGGTGATGTCCTTGAAGTCTGAATCCGATCACTTATCCTTTTGAAAAATGGCTATGACTGCAAGTTTCTCCAGTGCATCTTCTTCCATCCAAATGATAACTTTCATCTCCCATCTGAACATAATCGCTACTATTTATATTTATTTTTCAGTCTAAATCCGTTTCCACTTCTTGTCGTTATCTAAATAGGGTTAGATTCAGTGTCATTTCTAAGAAAGGTTTCAGGCGTTCATCTATCAAGCACTGCTCCTACATCAAATTCCTAACATATATTTTGACCATTTCGATGGCGACCTACTTTCATAGTCCACCCGCGAGAATGCCATCCGGTGATTGTCGCCGATCATCTCATACTGAACCGAGCTTCGTGCCCGGATCACGGTAGTTTATCCTTTCAGCTTCCAACGCGTGCCCTTCACCCCTGACCACTCGGTATTGCACATGCGGTCGCCGCGCGTGACGTTCAAAACATTCTTCTTTCTGTAACCCTCTCGGTGACACGTAGCA